TCTTTTGACTAGTGCATCGATCAAACTGACTGCAGATGTAACGACACCCTAAAAGCAAGAAGCGTATGACTCAATGAAACTACCATGGGAAACGAAGTTTTCAAACGGTAAGATTATGAGTTCTGTTAATAAATGGCATTAATTGTTTCTTTTGTAGCTCAGGTAGCATAATTTGATATACAGCTATATGGCGAGCGTGGCAAATAGAATGCAAGCGTTTCGTCAACAACCGAGGTATTATTCTCAATATAGAAACTGCACTACGAATTACGAAACTGTTTGGAGAAATGCGTAACGTATCTCTCAACCAACGCAATCGATTGAAATTAAACACTTGATTTAATAGACAATTGTCACTATCTACAACTCTGCACCCAAACTAAGCGATGTTGATTCGGTTTCCCCGCCACACTCGTTTAATACGGTACAGAGGTGTTACAAACCAAGTTTTTGTGGAGGCAGTCATCAGAGGATATACGTGTGAATTTTTGCCTAGCTCTTCTCAAAAGAAATAAATCGAATTCATTTAGGATGCCAATTGTCCGGGAGTAAACAGTGCGACACCAAAAACTCATCAATAGACTCAGAATCCTTGCTGATGACCATGTAATTTTATGTCCAAGCAGACGCTAACTTATTCATGTATGACCTTGTGAATATTCTGAGATTTATGACGTTCGTTCAACGGGGCACCGCTTCTTTTCAGTTTCGGTTTTTACAACCATGAACCATGCATTTTTGTGCCCCGGTTTGGGCTGCTATCTTTTGGCTGTCCATTTGGATGAACGGTGGGAGACAGGAAAGTTGAAAGCAGAGCGGAAGGGAAAAGCAGTCGACTAAGGTTGAAAAAAGATACACAAACGCCATTGTTAATGACACTGTCTAACCACCGACTACGATCATCCCGAGGTCTCACTCTGGAGAGCCTAACGGGACTTATGTGACCAAGTCTCCTGGTTAGGGTTTTCATACTCTCGTGCCAGGTCTTAGTTTGACCGCAGTTGGCTTTATTCCACCAGATTTGTGCAATGCTGCGTAGACGGCCGTGTCCAAACACCGAGGTCAACCTGATCCTGTTCTCTTAATGGCTATGTTTTTGCGCCGTATAGCAGAACTAGCCGAACTGCTGGCGCATACACTCGACTCTTCACGGACTGCCGAATGCTGCGATAGCGCAACAGATATCTTAAGTTTGTAAATCCCAATCGAGCCTTATGCATGCGAGCTGATACCTCATCCGTGATGCGTATAACGGGTGATATAGTTGCCCAAATAACTAAACTGGTCTACTCGTTCTATTACTTCCCCAGAGTGAGGCTGGGTGCTAGACCAACCCAGTCTTGAAGCAACATTTTACACTTTGAGAGAGCAAAACGCATACCGAACATGGCTACCCCGGCACTCAAGCTATCCAGAGAAGCTTGCAACTGATCTGAATCTTCACTTAGCAGCAGAATGTCGTTTGTCAGAATTTGTCAGGATAGGGCTGTTTTCATAATCAAATCTAAAAAACGTTGAACAGAAAAGGAGAGGAGTATCCCTGACGAATACCACTTTCGAGCGAAAAAGGGCCGTAAGCTCGGACCACCACTTCTTGGTTTCCTATGAAGAACGTTCAACGCAGCAAAATGAGTACGTGTGAGGGTGGTGGGAAGCTTTATAACTCGGTCACCACCGCTCAATTAGAATTTACTTATGGAAGTTTAAGTAGTGGAATTGGAGCACGCAAGAACACCACATACGCTTTGTACAGCGCATGCTCTATCAACTGAGCAACGAGACTTAACCGACAGAATCGATTTTTCACATTTTGATCACCAACCCAACTTACAGAAGCATATGGAATCCACCAGGTAGCATGAAACATGGCTGCCTTGGAAGGTTTTAATTAAGATCTACCGGAATTAAAGGAAGGATAACAAAATTATTCTTGTCTTAAAAGTTCATTTGACACACCAAAGGTAAACGTGTCGTGGAAGTCAGCTTGCATACTACCTGGTGGATCCCATATCTCTTTAAGTTGGATGGGTGATCCAGATGTGGAAAGATCAATGTTTTCAGTTTGGCTTTGTAGTTCCTGGGTAGAGCTTGCGCTAAATTTTCAAGTTCCTAGTCCTTAATAGATTTGTGGGAAGGAAACATCCAAAAGTGATGCAGTTTACAGATAAAAATGAAGAGGCAAGTCCCGTATTATTTAAAAGTAAAGTGGATTTCCTCTAGCACTGGTACGGCATTCCAAAAGTATCGGGAGTTCGTAGTATCATGTGCAAGAGAAAAATGACAAGTAACGTAATTCGATAAACAAACTGTTATAAAATATGAATATGAAGTATGATTAACTAAAGTAATCGAAAAAACTATTCTATATGTGAAAAGAGCTAAATGCTGTGTCTGGAGTTCAGCAACGGGCGGTTGAAGCATTTTACTGGTATCCAAAACTTACCAAATGCTGGTCGTTCAAAAGATGTATGGTACGGACAGTCCAATCGTCGTATGTAACCAACTCTGGGGCGATGCGAATAAGCCGTAGCATACAGAGAGCTGCGTTTTGTTTAATGGAATCAATGGTGTCTCTGGTTCACGTTTAGAGCAGATAAAATTGAAACTTACCCAGAAACGAGAAGTTTAGGGATTTCCTGGACAAAATTTTCAGCCATTTCACGGCTACCGATGTTTGCAATGCACTGGAGGGCGAGGTTGACGAACACTGGGTTGCGACTGGACAGGTCATCTTTTAGCCTTGTAATGACTAAATTCATCAGTGGGTGTGCTTCGTTAATCAAGACAGATATGAATAAATAACCCTGTATTGATAGGAAAACCACAACGCGCACTTACAATTTGTTTTTCTGTGTACCTATTAGAGCACAGTAAATTAACAGCTTCTGTGTGACCGAAGTCGATATCGTGACCAAGGAGGAATATGAAAAGCAGCTTGCAAACGTATTTCTTCTTTTGGTAACCATCGAGCGTTTTGTCGCCCTTGAACTTCGATCTTATATTCGCAAGTTCCTTGTTAATGCGTTTCACCTCCGCTTCTTTACTCTTGCAGTTTCTTATATCCGATATAAACACAGCCAGGCCACGCATGGCCTCACTTTTTGAGCTCGGCATTTATACGATATGTAGCTTTTCGTTGCTCCGCTAGAGAAGGGAAACGAACAATCAGTGATATAAGGCAAACCATCCGTCACTCAAAAAACCAGAGGCGAGTACATTAGAGATAATATCACGTAAATCCGTCTGCAATTCTCTAACCGACCCAACCAAGTAAAATTCTATGAACTAATACAAAATAACCGAGAATATCTTCGTAGGCCAGTTGATGGATGTTATTACATTAGCTTGTCACCATAGAACATGTACTGATTTTTAAGGGCCATGCTGTGACCGGAATTGCTGGAGTTTCATTAAAGCATATGGAGCACCTTCACAATAAGGAATATCGAAATATCGCAATGTTTGATGGAGACAAATTTACCAATGCTTGAGTTTTTAGTTCCATTTAAAGGATAACCAAGCATACTGAGGGCTGAAGTTAGATAAATGATTGCAGTGACGCTCTTTAGACACGCACATACTAGTCAGTGTAACCTATTTTTACGGATACATATTAGTAACGCACAGAGTTGATTTATACACACGGCGATACAGAGCCAAGTTGAATTAGTCCGGAAAAACAAATTCAGTTCAGCCAGTCAGTCAATCAGCTTGCGAAACACAGGAGGTGGTCAAGTCCAATCGAACGTCCACAATTCCTTCGGTTGTGAGCCATGTGATGACCTCTACCGCTACGATGGTTCCATATTGTAGTTCTACACGTTTTTGTCGTGATAGATAAGTCTTGAACTTTTCAATCTTTAGTTATCCTATATTAGTGTAGCAGCACAATAAGGGTCTTTATTTAAGCGTTGCTATATTGTACTCGTAGTAGGTTACACGTTTTTGTCATTTTTCAGCATCGTGTTCCGTACACCTTATTCATTGAGTAACCTCTTGTAGACCTGGTGGTAACATATTTGATTGTTTTCCAAATGTCATAGCCTTTTTAACATGCCACGGGTGTCTTATCCATGCCTGAATGTTTCATGTGGTAGACGGGTGGTCACAGGTATAGAATGCAGCATATGACAGCATTGGGCACACAAAACTTGATCGAAGCTCTCAAGCGAGCTATTCAAACTATACAGCAACTACGTAGATCTTCTGTGGATCTTCCAAGGATGCCGAGAGATTGCAAAATCTGCATTAAAAGGCAGCCAGAATTCCTTGGATAATGGTGGGGACATGCAAGGGCAAACGCTACGCGTAAGCGAGTCGTCACTCAAATCACCACCGGGTCAACCAACCAACGCTACTCGGAAAACACCACCCAACCATCAAGGTTAATCGTCGCTTCTGAGGAGCCCTTTGGATCACTCGACACCCAAGACCCACACCGCGAGTCCGAAAAAGACTCGCAACAGCAATCAGCCTGAACCAGCCATACCCCGAACCAAGCAGAGTATACAAGAGACGACACAGGGTCAATCAACAGTTGTCCCTGAGAACTAAACGGTTGTGAAAAAACAAAACAACAGTTCCATAAAATCAACCGCGCCTGTTTCAACGCATCAACCAACTCAACGTGCTGGACAATTCAATAGAAACATGACAAATCCTAAAGAGATCGGGGAAAACAGAGAAAACCCCAAGCCCAAAAAGGACAGCCGTAAAGTAAATCGGCACACAGGTTTCGGGTGCACCGCCTGATGGTTTCAATGCATCTATCTCTCGACTCGAGAAACAAGAATTGAGAATTGAGAACTTGGATCGCCACATACAAAGGCAACTCATAGAGGTCCAGATGCTCCACGCGTCCTACCAGACCACCTTAGGCAGGATGCGAAACGTGATAATTCACGCTCCAAAACCGCTCAACGGATCACCGCAGAGAAAACACTCATTCTGAGTGTGCTGCGCAACGCCGGTTGTCACCCCAAAATGACTTGGAAACGAGCACACAGGCTGGGAAAATGGGTCCCACCAAAACAGGATGGTCTCCCTACCAGTTGGCCGCTGCTGGTGGAACTCCACGGTGCAAAAGAACGAGACTTTCTCCTATCTAAGCCGTCAGTCATCGCTAACACAATGACCAACATCAAAATCGGGGAGACAACCGCGCCCCCTAGGACGCCCCGGTAGTAACCTCCGAGAAAATCCCACAACAACTGCAAAGAACCCGGTCCCTGGTCCACATTCCAAAAAATAGAGAACCTTCTACGAAGATTACTCCACCGACGCCAAACAGCGAAACCACCCACAGATCCTCTCCTGTGTGCTGATAAACGTTTACAGCATCCTAAACAAGAGAGACGGGGTGACTGATACTCTCGGCACCGTGTATCTGTACGTATGCGACTGGAGCCGCAATTTTCAGCAGTACCGCTCCGACCGTATTGACTCGCTTGGTGGAGG